TAAAATATTTGGGAAAAAAAATGTACCTTCCAGAAAACAGCTCTCTCCTGCCCATTTTCCATCCACCATCACCGACAGTCACCACCTAGTATCAAGCCACTCCTTGGAGGAGAATGACAAACTGGTATAGCATTATATTTTATGTACAAACAGCACTTATGTATGTTCAAGTTGGCATTGATTACATAAACTTGTTTTCACTGTTCAATCAAAGCAGCTCGGCAAGGGAGAGGTGCATGAGGACAAGCCTGGGAATCTGAAATGTTACAAGCTTCTCCCAGAATCCTCTAGAGAAAATTAATGACTGAGACCCACTGCCTTAGGAAATAATAGAAGACTATTTACTTCAGGTGTTCTGTTCTCTATCTTATTCCCCATCAACTGCTAATGTTTGCAAAGCAAGGGCAAATTAAAATGCTCATGAGCATATTACAATTATGAAGGGAACCTGAGACTCTTTTTGGAAAACTCCCACAGTCATTAGAATGTTTCTTCTCAAGATGGGCACAGTGGTTCATGCCTGTAATCCTAGCACTTTGGGAGGCAGAGGCGAGAGGATTGACAGCTCATGGGTTCGAGACCCGTCTGGGCAACATGGCAAGACCTCATCTGTACAATAAATCAAAAAATTAGCTGGGCATGATGGACTGCACCTGTGGTTCCAGTTACTGGGAAGGTTGAGGCAAAAGAATGACCTGAACTCAGCAGATTGAGGCTGTGGTGGCTATGAGTGTGTCACTGCACTCCAGCCTGGGCAACAGAGTGAGACTCCAACTCAAAAAAATAAAATAAAATGTTCTCAATTATCCAGTTGCTCATTCCTTTCCAATAAAGCATTTGATTCCAAGGAGACTCTAAGTCAGACAATTTCTGGATATTCAGATTGAAGACACTCATCAGAGCCACTCCTAAATGGTTGTCAAATTTTGGCAAACCTAGATTGGAAAAAGGAGAAAAGAAATGCATAATTCATCCACATACACAGGAAATGTAGTATCAGATCACTGTAGGCATGAGTGCACACAGAAGTACACACACACAACCGGTTTGAACAATCACAACTAGAGGAGTTGGAGCCCCGCTGAGAGTAACTTTTAGTTTTTATCCTGGCAGTTCATGGGGATCTCCTTTTTGTCTGAAAGGCTGCAGGAGTTTCAGTCCCTCAGCCCAGCTTGATACTTAGTTAACTACCATTCCATATTGTTTTCTCTTCCCACCAGCACTACCCCCAGAGTAGAACAGCTCTAGTGAGTAACACATGGGTTTCCCTTATATTTTTATTCCCTAAAATTTATGTATTCATTCAACAAGTAGATAAACACACATTCCTCATCTAAGAGAGAACAGAAGTTACCCATTTTGTCACTGTGCAGTCATCAATGTGCAAATTGTGCACGACTGATGCTGACACATTGGCAACATGGGAGACCTGTGTTGACCCTTATTTGCAAGGAACATTCAGGCCAACAGCAAACAATTAGACAGCCCCTGTCTTCATACACTTGACATTTCATGAGGAAAGCAGTTGCATAAGAATTGTGTTGTATTATGCAAAGGGATTTGACTTGAGAAATATACAGTGGTCAGGCATCTAATCTAATCTGAACTTGCGCAGCGCAGGATGGGCCTGTGCGGTGCATCTGCACTAATGTTTGCTGAACCGAATTCAATGCTGGTCCTCTACTTCCTTAGATTCTCATCATTGATTGTTAGTGGAGACATGTGAGTCATTCCTGACTCTTGATATTAATAACTATGTCTTTGGCTTATTCATTTCCGCATATGTTTATCTAAGAGGGAAAAGGTTGTAAAATCATTAATATCCAGGCAGAGCTCTTGGCTGTCAAGGAAGGGCTTCAAGAAGTGATACAGCAAATATATTTAATTTAATGAATATTTAGAGAGTACCTGCTATTTTCAAGGCATTGAGGTAGATACAAAAGTGAAGTCAATAGTCCTTGTTTTCACGGGTCTTAAACGCAAGTGCAAGTGTGTGTGTGTGTGTGTGTGTGTGTGTGTGTGTGTGTATGAGGCTGGGTGGTAGGAAACTGGAAAAGAAGTAGAATGAGAAGAAGAGGACAAGTTAAAACTAGTAATACATAATCAAAGAAGGGAACCTATTCCATAAATGTGTCTGTAGATACGTGTGTATTTGGGACAGAAATACTGTCTTGATGTAATTTCTTTCAGGAGAAAGCAAACAGTGAGCTCAGAGCCGTGGGAGATGCTGGGGAAACAGCAGGCGATATAACTCCTGCTGGTCAGCTATTGGCAGCTTTCCCTGCCCGCACTTTCCAATCCTCCTAGTCTAGGGAAACCTGCCTCCCGGTGCTCCCTGGCCTCTGTGTTAACCCTATATTTGCACTTACTACATTAAATTGCATCTTCACCTTGCCCTTTACATATCTGTTACTCAAACAAGACTCTGAAATTGCAAAGCCAGCCACATACCTTGGCACTGGCACATAGTGATGGGTTCTAACCCATATAGATACTCCATCAATGTCAGTTGAGTTGAACTGGGTACCCTGGACAGTATAGAACATATTACAAGACTGTTCTCAATAGAGATTTGATCAGATAAGTGGTGACATTTCAGAAATCAAAGGGAAAAGATTTTAGAAATAGTCTTTCCAGTTGAGCGCAGTGGCTCACACCTGTAATCCCAGCACTTTGGGAGACTAAGGCGAGAGGATTGCCTGAGTCCAGGGTTTCGAACCCAGGCTGGGCAACATGGTGAGACTGCGTTTCTACAATAAATCCAAAAAAATATATGTATATGTATTAGCTGGGTGTGGTGGCACATGCCTGTAGTTCCAGCTACTTGAAAGGTCAAAGTGGAAAAATCACTTGCGCCCAGCAGGTCAAGACTGCGGTGGCTGTAAGCATGCCACTGCACTCCAGACTGGGCGACAGATTGACACTCCGACTCAAGAAAAAAAAAAAAAAAGAAATAGTCTTTTCAAGAGCCTCATAGCTGATATGCAAACAATTACCTGGAGAGACTGTTAAAAAATAAAGACCTCTCAGAAATTTTGATTCAGTAGTATTGAAATCAAGATCCAGAAATCTTATCTTTAAACAAGCTCCCCAGTTAATTCCAGAGCAGAAAATCCCCATGCTACAAGTTGAGAAACTCTGCTCTCCTTACAGAGCTTCCTAACAAGATGATACTTGTCTTTCTGATTAATTACACATGATCATCTTAAACCCCGGAAAGAAGGGATATATAAAACTTGCATTGTCTGAAAAACCATAAAAATGTTTTCATTTCTGAAACTTGGGTAGCAAAATAGCTCCTGGGGTGAAAAATCTTTTTTTTTTTTTTTTTGAGTTGGAGTCACTCTATCACCCAGGCTGGAGGACAGTGGCACGCCTCTCGCCCAAAGCAGACTCAACCTGTTGGGTTCTGGTGATCCTTCTGCCTCAGCCTTCCAAGTAGCCGGAACTACAGGCACATGCCACTACGCCCAGTTAAGTTTTTGATTTATTGCAGAGACAAGGCCTTGCCAAGTTGCCTGGGATAGTCTTGCACCTGTGGGCTCAGGCAATGCACTCATCTCGGCCTCCCAAAGTGTTAGGATTACAGGCTGAGCCACCAAGCCGGCGAAAAATCTTTTATCCGTGCATTATTAGTCCCACACTGACTAATGTGTTATCTCAGTCCATGAAGCTGACTACACATGCACACCTGTAGCAATATTTTTTTGTTTTTTTGCTTTGAGTTGGAGTCTCTCTGTTGCCCAGGCTGGAGTGCAGTGGCACGCTCATGGCCACCGCAACCTCGACCTGCTGGGCTCAGGTGATCCTTCCACCTCAGTCTTCCAAGTAGCTGGAACTGCAGGTATGCACCACCATGCTCAGCTTATTTTTTGATTTATTGTAGAGACAAGGTCTCACCAAGTCACCCAAGCTGGTCTCAAATCCCTGAGCTCTGGCAATCCTTCTGCCTCAGCCTCCCAAAGTGCTGGGTACAGGTTTGAGCCACCACGTCCGGCCGAAAATGTTGTTTAAGGTACACCTCTAAGCATCTATACAGACCCAGAGAACCAACTCTGCCTAATCAGAAGAAAAGGAGAGTTTTAGAAGAGTTTTAAACAGATGTCATTATTTTTAAGGGTTTAAAGAATAAGGATTTATATTTTGGGTTACCCTAAGATCTAATTTTCTAAATATCAAGCTAAACAAAACTTAGCCATATCAATGCCAGCCCCCAGAAACCTGGAATACCTAAAAATTTTGAGAGGCATCACTCAAAGTGTCAGTAAATCAATATTGGCCAAAGTCCTAAGCAAAATAAATCTTCACCACATCCCCTTGTGATTTCAGAATTAACACAGAGATTTCCTAAACAGGGAAACATAGCATCAAGAGTGATGTAGCAAATAACAGACCTCAGTCTCCAAGCCGTGGGAGTTTGCCTCTGGCAGCCATATTGAAATGAAGGCAATTAACACAGTCTATCTTGCAATAGGATGGTGCTTTGCAGACTATTTGAAATTCCATGAACATCTCACCCAGACCCCAGTCACCCTTTGAAATATGCTGAACCATGGCAGTCAGCACACAGGGGGCTCGTTAAATGAGTAAGAGGGAGCAGAGAAATCACAGTTTGTAACTGAGATCATTTCATGGGCAGTTTGCCAGCTATTTGAGAAACTATACGATAAAGGTCTTTTAATCTGAGGTATTGACCAAGTGCAGTACTATGAATCCATAAAAGACTCTTAAAATGATTTAGAAGGATACGTCTTTTCAAATTTTTTTTTTAAATTTCCCACTGCCTTAACAATTAATTCTGTCTATTTTGATGTGAGAATTTAGGAGGCAAGATGATAATATGATTAGGTTTTAGCAGAAAGTAGTCTTCAGGGTGAATGATCAGGACCCTTCCTGTATGTAGTCCTTGCCATCTATTATGCAGCAGAAGCTATTCTCAGATATCAGATTATGATCATCTTTGTCCAAACAATGATGATGTACACACCGGCAACACTTACCCAGTACAGGCAATTGCTTTGAAATAGCTCGCAAGGCTGAGAAACAATGCTTTCACAACATCTTAAGTGAAAAAGAGACAATATTTTAAAATTATTTTAAAATGACCAAAATTGGGATGAAATATAGGAATCATAGCAGTAATTTGGGAAACAGTTACTTACAAACTACGGTTATCATCAACGAGCATGTGAAGATGCCGGCTAATATTTCTCCCATGAACCATCTGAAACAACAGAATTGCTTGCATTTAGCATACTAATTATGTGTTTTCAACCCACCTGATGGTCTTTTCTATTTACTATAGTCTTACAATTTCAATATTTACTCCCCAGACTTCTTTGACACTAAACAATGCGTCCATGTAAGCAAAAACCATTTGTATCCCCTAAAGTTATTGAAATAAAAAAAGAAAAAGAAAAAAGATTCACTCTAAAATGGCAGTAATAAAGATAATGTGGCATTGGCAGAAGAACAGACATATAGATCAATAGAAGAGAAAAGACAGCCCAGAAATAGACCCATACAAATTTAGTAAACTGATCTTAGCAGATGTGCAAAAGCAATTCAAAGAAGAAAATATAGTGTGTTCAACAAACGGTGCCAGAACAATTAGAAATGTACAAAGAATGAATCTCAACATATACACCACACCATTACACAGGATTTGACTTGTATAATGGTGTGGTGTACGTGGGTCACAGACCAAAATGTAAATCATAAAGGTATAAAGCAGAATAAATTTTACATGACCTTGTTTTTAGCAATGAATTTTTATTTTTTATTTTTTTAAATTTTTATTCTGTCGCCCAGACTGGAGTGCAGTGGCCACTCCCGGCCACCGCAGCCTCGAACTGCAGGGCTCCGGCGATCCTTCCGCCTCAGCCTTCCAAGTAGCTGGAATTACAGGCATGCGCTACCACGCCCGTCTGATGAGGGGGGAGGTCTCGTTGCCCAGGCGGGTCTCGAACCCGCGGGCTTAGGCAATCCACTCACCTCAGTCTCCCAAAGGCGCGGGATTACAGGCTGAGCCACCGAGCCCGGCTTGGCAATGAGTTTTTAAATACAACATCAAATTCACAGTCCAGGAATTTTTAAAAAATTGATTAATTGAACTTTATCGAAACTGAAAATTATTGCACTGTGAAAGACACTGCAAAGAGAATGAAAAAACAAGGTACAGTCTGTGAGAAAATATTGGCAAATCACATCTCTGATAAAGGACTTCAATCCAGAATATATAAAGAACTCAACATTCAACAATAAGAAAACAAGCAACCCACTTTTTAAAATGAGAAAAGACACCTCACCAAAGAAGATATATAGATGGCAAATAAGTGTAACAGATGCTCACTATATTGTAGCATTAGGGCAATGCAACTCAAAACAGTAAGATATCACTGCAAATCACTTAGAACAGCTAAATCCCCAAAACTGACAGTACAAAGTGCCACAGAGGCTGCAGAGCATCAGGAATCTCATTCATTGATGTAGTCATCAAAACGGTACATTCTGGAAGATAGTTTGACACTTCATTGCATAGATAAACATACCCTTACCATATAATCTAGCAATTATACTCCTTATTATTTACTCAACTGAATTGAAACTCTGTGCCTATACAAAAACCTGGATGTGATTCCTTGTAAAAGCTATACTCAAAATTGTCAAAAACTAAAGGCAACCAAGATGTCTTTCAATATGTGAATGTATAAACAAATTGTGATACATCCATACGAGGAAATATTACTCAGCAACAAAAGGGAAAGAGCCAATCATTAGAATGATCCATTTATAGCTGCTATGGGTGGGCATCTTTTCTTATAAACAGGATGAATCTCAGAGGAGGTGAATAGTTTTTATATCAATCACATATGAACAAACCACTCCATGGGAGAAAGAATTCATTCTGGTAAAATAAGGAATTAAAAGAAGACAGAAATGATGGGAAAACCTGTAGCCCTACATGGAGCAAAATTCAATGTAAAATCCAAGCTTATATTTTCTCCTCTTCCCATACCTTCCTTTTTATGGTAATGGTTATTTTAAATTAAAAATATTCAAAATAAATGAGGTATTAAGCCAGGCAATACCACATATAAATCTTAATTGCATTTTGCTATATGAAGAAAGCAAGACTGAAAAACCTACATTCTGTAGAATTAAATTAACATAACATTCTGGAAAAGACAAATCTACAGGGAAATAAAACAGATTACTAGTTTCCAGGAGTTTGGGCAAGAAAGAGTAATTGACTAGAGAAGCATAGAGGATTACTTTTAAAGATGGCAAGGCTAGTCTGTATGGTGCTGTAGTGATAGATACATAGCATCATGCATTTGTCAAAACCTATAAGACATTATAGCACAGAGCAAACTGTCATGTCTGCAAATTTTAAATAATCCATCAGGAGGTTGGGGAATCCCAGCATGGAATGCAGAAAGAAGCAGCTAACTGTATTACAGATGTATGACATAAACTCACTGAAGCGAGTGGAGAAAAACAGTGCTGACCTGAAGAACTTTGGAAAATGGAGTTGCAACTGAGTTCTAAGATAAAAGACAAAATTATTTAAAATATTGCATAAAACTGCCTTCAGGCTATGTGTATGGGGGTATGTGAAACATAAATAAATTTTGTGTTTAGACTTAGATACCATCCCCAGATATCTCATTGTGTATTATGCAAATGTTCCAAACATCTGAAAAAAAATTGAAATTCAAAACACCTGTGGTCTCAAGTATCTTGGATGAGAGACACTTAGACTGTATGTGCAATCATATAGACTCTTGTATATGTCATCACTTACATATCTTTAGAAAACATCCATGCTCTTGACTAGATCAACACTTTTTAAAAATTATTCTTATAAAGATGGTAGGGTACAATTCAGGGTTAGGTATACAAACGTTGATTATGCAGGTACCCTTGTTGATGAGGTGTGCCCCGCCCTCCCCTAGTAGTTTCCCTCAACTGCCAATCCCACCCCTCCCACAGTTTCCCACTACTGCAAATCCCTTTCTTATTGTATTATAATTATTCAAGGTCCGCTTACGAGTGAGAAAATATGGTACTCTATTCTTTGTTTCTGTGATAGATCACTGAGTATGATCGACTTCAAATCCATCCAAGTTGCTGCAAAGTCCATATGTTTGTCCTTCTTTATAGCTGCATAATATTCCATTGTGTATATGGACCACATTTTTTTGTTTAATCCAGTCCAGTTTTGATGGGCAACATGGTTGGTTCCATGTTTTTGCTGTTGTGAATAGAGCTGCAACAAACATACGTGTGCAGGTATCTTTTTTGTAGAATGATTTAAGTTCCTCTGGGTATATTCCCAATAGGGGAATTGCTGGGTCATATAGAAGGTCAATTTCTAGTTCTTTCAGAAATCTCCACACTGTCTTCCAAAGAGGATGCATTAGTTTGCATTCCCACCAGCAGTGTAGAAGCGTTCCTTTTCTTCCACATCCTTGTCAGCATATGCTGTTGTTTGTTTTATTAATGATGGCCATTCTTACTGGGGTTAGGTGGTATCTCAATGTGGTTTTGATTTGCATTTCTCTGTATAACAACACTTTAAAAAATAATCTTTAGCTTAAATAACTTTTTTTTTTTTAGTCAGGGTCTCACTCTGTTGTCTAGGCTGATACGATCATGATCATGGCCATGATCATGGCTCACCGCAGCCTCAACCTCCTAGACTCAGGCGATCATTCTATCTCAGCCTCTCAAACAGTTGGAACTTCAGGTATGTGCCACCACATCTGGCTAATTTTTAATTTTTTTTTGTAGAGACGAGGTCTCACTATGTTGCCTAGGTTAGTCTAGAACTTCTGGACTCAAACAATTCACCTGTCTCAGTCTCCCAAAATGCTGGGATTACAAGCATCAACTATCATGCTAGGCAATAATCTCTTTATTTGGAATAATTTTAGGTATGCAGAAAAGTTGCAACATATGGGACAGAGGTTTCTCCTGAGGCTTTCAGTTAGTTTCTTCTGTTAGTAGCATCTTATATTACTATGGTATGTTTTTCACAATTAAGGAACCAAAACTGGCACATTACTATTATCTCAACTCTGCACTTAATTTGGACTTTTCAGTTTTTCCTAATGTCCTTTATATGTTCCAGGATCCCATCCAAGTTACTACATCTCACTTAGTCATTGAGTCTTTTTACGTTCCTCCGGACTGCGACAGTTTGTCAGACTCTTCTTGGCTTTGAAGACCTTGATGGTTTTGAGAAATACTGCTAAGATAATGTGCTGAATGACTTTCAATTTGGGGTTTTTCTCATGGTTCAACTGGGGTTTGGAAGACTACAGAGATAATGTGCCATTCTCAGTGCATTATATCATGGGTAATGCCGTCAACATAACTCATCACTCTTTTTCACCCGCGGCAGTATTTGACCAGTTTCTCCACTGTAAAGCTACCTTTTTCCCACCCTGTCCATGCTCTGCTCTTTGGAAGCAAGTTTCTAAATGCAGCACACATGCAAGGAATTGGAAGGTAAATTCCACCACTTAAGGGGGTAGTATCTACCAAAATTAACCTTGTGAACATTGTACTAATCATCCTGTAAAATAAAGCAAAGGGTTCCATGATCAACTTGGAGGCTTGGAAAGCATTAAGCAAAATTCAGCAAAACAAGCTTCTCCACTACATTATTTCACTGAGGTTTTATTATACGAATGCATGTTATGATCCCTCAGCTTGGGACAGAGAATGCAGAATTTGGCACATTTATTTTTAACCACAGGACCTCTCCGCCTTTTGTTCTTTTGGACCCATTGTGATCTAAAAATGTTTTTCAAACCTCATAATTAACTGGGAAGCTTATTTTAAAATACCAATTCTCACTAGATCTAAATTAGTATCTCAAGAGATGGGATCTAGGAGTTTGTATTTAAAAACACAATTTCCCCAAATTCTGCTGAGGTAGCTGACCCTCATGGGGTGGGACCTGAGAACAGGCAGCACGAGCCGGACAGAGTTCAAGGATGGTAAGATCCCTGGACTGCGCTCCACCCTTGTTTTGCTGATTCAGCAAATACCGATGAGCCCCTGGCAGTGGGGATGCAGAAGTGAGGAAGACACATGATGTCTCTGCTCTCAAGTAGCTCACATTCTTTATAATTTCTTAAAATCAGTTTTCTTAGGTTGAAAGGTAGCTCATATGCTTGAAAGAAGTGCTAGATCACTAACATTTCAACAAGTGATCATATAATTGGTCAGGAGATAGTAAGTGCCCTAAAGCAAAATAAAGCAAGGTGTGTATGCTATTTATACAGGGTTGTCAGGGAAGGGCTCTCTGATGATGTGACATTTGAAGAGATTCCAGAAAGAAGTAAGATCATGTTTCATGAGACTATCTGGAGAAGACGTATGAGGCAGGGTAGACAGCAAATGCAAAAGTCCTGAGGCACAAGTGGGCTTAGCTTCAAGGAACTCAATCACCACCCCGGAGCCTTGGGCAAGGAAAGGACAAGAAGGTAGAGGAAGGACATGCATATCAGAGGATAGAGAAGAAACAGGACTCTAAAAGGGCATGAAGAGATACTTTAGGGTAGGATATACAGATACAATGGGGAAGAGGAAATCTCAGCGGGGATTCCAAGCCACCTAGTGGGAACTTCAAGTGCCCTTGAACTCCAGGCAAGGGTGCTTAGACTGTACCTGTAACAGGAGTCACCGAGCTTTAGACAAAGGGTGATACGTGGAGAAATCCAATTTTAAACAAGATACCCTGGTTTTTGTATGCTTTGTGAAAGGATGAGAGGTGGGTAGTGAATGATAAAGGGGCATTTATCACGGACAAATGAGCACATCCTAACTATAAAGTTACCCAAAATGTTTTGTGGAATAAGGCAAGGAACTCCTCAATCAATTACAACTTCATTAATTGTGAGATACCACTGCATGAAAATAAACTCTGAATTACCTTGCACATGCAGAAATGATTAAACACACAGCAAGCAGGATTGTCTGAAAGAGGACTTCTCGCAACAAACCGATTTCTAATAGGAAGAATGAAAAATAAATGAATTAAAAATCATTTCTGATTAAATAATTTGGGGATAGCAAAATCATATGGAAACTGTTCTATCTACATGCCAAAAGAAAGAAATGATTTTCAAATGTGTATCAGTTCAAATAATTTGTCATATATGGCAAAATAAAATCACCTAATATTATACAGGGTCATTCATTAGAAAAATTATGCAAATAATCAGTTTCTTCTAGCATTAGAAAATAAGATACTATGCTATTTATACAGTTTTGGGCTTGCTTTTTGCTTCTGTGTTGGGAAAAGGCTTTATAGAGCTTGTGCTAATATCAGAAATCTAACTCTGATGACAATAATAATAATACGGTAATAATAATGTAAAGCCTAGAATTTGCAGAGTGCCTTATAATTCACAAAGGGTTTTTGTACATCAGTTCACTTAACTAGCACCATGACTCTGTGAGGTGAATACCACTATCTTATTTCTACAAATGAAAAGAACAAGACTGAGAATAATGATGAAATTGTCCAAGGTCACACAGCTATGAGATGTCAGAGCCAAGATTTAAAAACCACATCTAGACAGAACATAATGTTTTGTCTGAAGAGGGGCAAGCAAAGACAATTGCAACTTTGCATACTTGAAATCTGAAAAGAACAACAAAAGAAGAGAACATATATTCTGAAATAATTGTCTTTCCCAAACTCATTGTAGTCACTACAATAATTCAGCACTGTCAAGCTGCTGTGGAAAAGACTGAAAATCCTTCAGCAATTATAAACATAAGTGTTAAGCCAGTCATGAACCTGAGCATTACTCTTATCACCTGAAAGAAATCAGAGCTTTCCTGAGTATTACCACATAAAAATGTAAAGGAAGGTATACACAGACCTTGACTTAATTTTTGCCACATGCTTCAAAAGCTTGATGTTGCAACAGTTGCTTAAGACTTGGAATGACTTTGTGTTATGAATGCATTTATTTTTACTATTTATGCTATGAGTGAGGATTGAGTCAGCTAACAAAACCTACTTAGCCCATAATGCGGGTGGAATACTGAGGATGGGCAATTCAAAATATCACAGTAGTAAATGATGTCACCGCAAATGTGCAGTATTTCATATATATTGTGAATTAAGGGAGTTACTGTAAGTTCAATCGAAAACTCAACCATCCCTCTCAAGTGGGCTTCTATTCTTAGCCTTCCCTGGTTTAATGTAAAATTTGGAATAAATTTTCTCACAGAAGCAAATCCAGCTTGAAAAACTGCAAAGATCACAGAAGGATGAATGGGTTTAAATTCGAATTCTACAGAGATGTGTGGTTTTGGATGAGTTATTCACGGATTCCTTTCTTCAGTAGTCATTTACCTAGTACCTATTTTGGTTCAGCTCAAGTGTAACCTCCTCCCGGAAGCCTGCCTTGATTCCTTCATCTCTTCCCTGGCCTTTAACTACTCTCTCCCTGTGCTCCCATTATACCTTGTTAGTATCTTCCTTAGCTCTCTTTTCACATTGAGTTAAAATTTCTGTTTTATTTCCCTATAATTTCCCCCTAGACTGTGAGCTCATTAGGAATAGTTGGCATCCACTTCCTGTTCTCTGGCAATAGTGTTCATATTTATTTTTGATGAGTCACCTCTCCCTCAGTGTATGGTTTAGGTGTGGTGACTGATTTTCCTGTTTTTTTCCCCCCAGCAGTTGATTCCTCCCAAACCTTTTGGACTTTCGTGTACTTATCAACAAAGTTTTGTTGATGTAAATGAGGCCCTTCCAGAACCAATGAAACTAATTCTGGGCTCCTTGTCATAAGTGTAGACAGACATCATCTCTTTCTACTGAACTGGAAACTGGAAAGGTGTAGGCATAGAGCCACCAGACCCCACCACAGAGAGAGATAGCCTTTTAAAGAGAAACATGAATGTGAGGATGATCTGACTGTGACACGTGTCACCCTTTAACACTAGGGTTAATTCAGCTGATCTGGCTGGCTAGACAGGTGTCCCCTTCCTCTCTCAGCACTCCATATGCATTCAGCCTAGAGTTGCACACTCAGTCAAAGAGGATGACCATCCCTACTGGAGGAGGACCATTCTTTGGTCAATGATATACGAGTAGCTGTGTTCCTTGCTAGAACCTCCGAGCAAGCTCTCAAGAGTAACATGGACATGGAAGAGAAGAGGAAACAAAAGATAGACACTGACAGAATCCTGAACTTAATGCCTGGAATTTTTATTAATATGAGTCAATAAACTATGCTGTTGATTAATCCACCCTGAATTGGGTTTCCATCCGTTGGAACTCAAAAAAGTCTGACTGATATAGATGATATTGTCCATGCCTATACCCTTAGCTCATTGCCTGGAACACAATACACATGTATAACTCATATGGGAAGGAAGATGGTGATCTTGTCTCTCCGGGCTTTGTAGCTTAGTAAAGAAGAGGAATATAGTTTCAATAGAGGCCTACAGAGAGCACTAGGGAATCATGGGGAGGCAAAGTGCTGCCTCCACCAGCCATTTGGAGGCAGATTGGGCCCCACAGAGGTGGCCTCATTAATCTGGGCCTTGAGGAAGAGTAAAGCCCATCCAGGTGTAGCAGGTGGGAGGGACATTCCAGACACAGCAGTGTATGTATATTTATTCTTGCAAAAAATCTTTGCAGTGAGTACAAAGGCTTACCTGACCTGTCTGAATTTCAGTATTCTCATTGGTCAAATGCAGGTAGCACACTTATTAATTGACCCACCACTGTCACAGCACGTTTGCACCCTGTCTTTTGGGAAGTTTGGAATTCATAGATGACGATGACCAAGTGCCCATCTTTAAGGAGCTCACAGAGGTAAACATGCAACAGTAGTGAAGATAATGGACATAAGAGAGAAGCCTCGGAATCCAGGGGAACACCAGGACGGGTGGGCTCCCTGGTGGGGGTGACCGTTGAGCCTTTCTAAGTATTGATAACCCGGAAATGGTCTAAACAATAAAATCTGCTTTCTCTACCATCTTAACACCTGGAAAGAAGAAGAAGAAGAAAAAAAACCTTTAACACTTATCTAGTAGCTACACCAGGGTCAAAATGCACAGAGTATGCTGGTCTTCAGGGGTAGAAGAAGGGATGGCCAGTGAAGTGAATATTCATGATTTGGTGAAAGCAAATGAAGAGAAAATATTATTTTTCCATTTAACCCCAATTTTATATAATAATAACTTCACACTTATTGAGTATTTAGTAGACATGGCACAGTATGCCAAGTGCTTCACATGAGTCATTTTGGTCATTACACGGTAGGAATTAGATTATCTGCATAGACAGATGAAGATATTAAGTCTGAGAGAGTTTGGTAAACTGCCTCTGAGTCACAGCTGACTAGTGGGGAACTGGGCTCTGAATCTTGGCAAACCAATGACAGAGCAGGCTCTCTCCTAGATGCAACACCACATCCAAACACGGACATGATTAATCCAAAACTAGCAAGCTAGGGTTTAAAGAATTAAGAGTTGTGCTTGGGTTTTGTTTTGGTTTTGGTTGTTGTTTGTTTAGGAGACTTTTTTTTTTTTTTTGGAGTTGGGGTTTCTCTTTCTGTCGCCCAGGCTGGAGGGTAGAGGCATGATCACATCTCATCACAGCCTCAAATTCCTAGGCTCAGGTGATACTTCTGCCTCAGTCTCCCTTATTGCTGGGGCTATAAGCACATGGCACCACGCTGTGCTAATATTTTAATTTTTTTTTGTACAGAAGATCTCTCTATGTTGTCCAGAATAATCTCGAACTCCTAGGCTCAAGCAATCCTCTCACCTAGACCTCTTAAAGTGCTAGGATTATAGGAGTGAGCCACTGCACCCGGCCTATCCTTGTTGAACTTATTACAGATTTACTCTGACAGGAAATACCAATGTCTTTATATCTCTTGGCTTTGCTTTGTCAGGGGCATAGCATTAAAGGGTGTTCTATTCATCTTTTCTTTCTTTTTTCTTCTTATGGAAATACATTTCTTTTTTTTATTAGAAAATATAGTTTATTTAGGAAGCAAATTTGAGAGAAAGAGAAAGGAGATTCACCTCCCCAAGGTAGGGAAGGGGGCCAAAGCCAGGAAACATGACCTGACCATAGCTTAGTAAGGCAATGGCTGGAAATATACTTCTTCTTATGTCAAATACACGGCTAAGTGTAAAGAGAAAAATAGCTAACACCTGTGTACTCTCTACCCTGTTTTACCAAAGCCTAATGTTTAACCAAATGTCCTTAGGGTTTTTAAAAAATGAAACACTGCACATTCAGTGTTTCTGGTTGCCTTTAAGAGAACACTCCAAGGCAGTCATCTCTTCCGTGAAGGCGTCACCCAGGCTCTGCGGAGGCCCCGGGTACTCCCCTCCTCTCACAGGTTGGTACTCATTCCTCAATTAGTCAGCGCCAAGTCATCCTCAGGCCCTGAAAGGAAGAATGTTTTGGGTGTGGTAAAGGTTAATAAAATCCGAACTCACTTGAATGATCCAGAATGTGCCCTGGGAAATGTGCTGATCCCATCGTCTGGGACTGAAGACAGGAGTCCTGGGCGTTTTCTCCGGGAGGTTGAGATGTGATGTGGCCAGAAGAGGAGGTTATTGCAGACTCTGCAGTCAGCTCCTCTGACTCCCAGCCATCAGTCAAAGAAGAACGATCAAAATCACCTCCTGGAACAGCAAAAGGAGAGAGAGACAGAGATTGAGAGAGACAGAGAGACAGACACAGAGAGAGAAACAGAGACAGAGATAGACACACAGAGGGACAGAGAAAGAGAGAAAGAGAGAGAGGAAGAAGAGGGGAGAGAGAGAGAGGTTGTTCAATGCCTGGTTCCTAATAATTACAACAATTTCAATGCTGGGACACTACAGGAAGAGGGTGGAAGAAAGATTTCTGGATGAGATGGCTTTTCAATTTGTCTTCATCCTTCAAGTCTGAGGCAAAGCATCTTCACTGCAGGGATAAACACAGGCCGGAGGCACCTCTAAGTGATGTTGGGTATCGAATGGATGAACTTAAAGGATGTATTGCATGTATATGAGCCTCACATTATTATAGCACCAAACTTTACGCCAGGGCCCACCCCCTCTTCTCATTCATTCATTCAACATTTATTGAATGTTTTACATATCAGAAAATGACCTAGCCGCTGAGATCCAAGGGTGGATTAGACATCTCTGCCCTCATGTGACTTACATCCTAGTGGAGAGAGCAGGGTTAGGAGGAGGGTTAGGGTTCATGACACTTCATGATAAGTGTTATGAAGGAAATCCTCCCTCTATAAAATACATTGCAATGCTAGATAAAATATAGCAGCCATCTGTATAATTTTTTTCATTCAAAGAGGCTTTTCCATGCATACATAGTTTCAAGAACATGTGCCCACTTTCTTCTATGATGGTTCATACATAAATATGTTTTACTGGTCCTAAAGTTAGCCTGACATTCTCTCTCAAAAATATCAAGTTTATCTCAAAAGCATGTGTGCAATATCAAGTTTCAAGCATGTTATACGAGGATAATTACTAGTAACCATTGGTGTCCTCAAAGTGCAGTCACTGAGGAATGATATTTAACCCTTGATTCTTGATTTGAGTAAGAGATTATGGAGCCCAAACTCTCCAAGCCAAAGTGTCATTGGAAAGGGTGAATGTGTTCAGAATGTTTTTTCGATTACAGGGACAATTAAGTACCACACATTTGACTCACACACCAGAAGTCTTCCATTTGGCTCATCTGGGATAAACATGGCTAGGAATTATCTTGGTTCTATCTCTGGTGGTCTGTGAGATATCGCAGGGCTCAACTTCACTCCTGTGGCCCTGGGTAGGAATCAGAGCCAGTTTAGAGCTCACTGACTTGGAGGTAAATTCACTCATAAAGAGTAGCCAGAAGTCTGCCTTGGGATGCAGGTGTCTCCCAGGCTGGTGTCTAAAAGACTGCACATGCCCACAAACATTTTTAACTCTATAGCTGAGCTCAAAAGAAGGGGATATTCCCAGAGACCAAACCAAGGAAACCCCAAACTCTAAACATGAGTTGTGGATGATGCTTCCCTGAGGGTTGGGGAGGGGATTTAAAAGACATGGTAAAGGGCTGTGGTTAAATGGCACTATGGGAACAGAGAAAAGACCCTGCCCTTAAGAGATGCAGTAATTGAAACTGAGTCCCCTTAGGAATTCAAAACACTATTTCCCCAATAAAAAGTTAGGCTAGGGGAAAAAAAAAATCTGTCCACTAGTTTTGGGAGAAAGCATGAAAACCTCTCTTTTTGCCAAGGCAGTGAGTGGGAAGAAAATGTCTCCCCTAACATTTTATAAGTATGTTAGCTTTGAGTAAAGATTTAAACTAATTGAGATGTTAATATTTAAAAAGTGTCAGACTGTTACCAGCCCCTTGATGTCTCCCAGAGCCAATGTAAAACTTGGTATAGAAGCACACCCTCAGTCCAAGCCATAGAAATTTCCTCAGATAACGCCCAAGCGACATGAACTCACAGTTTAAAATTATAAATTACGTAGAGAGATAATTTCCCATAGGTAAGAAGAATATATATGGCGCTATGGAAAAGGATAGTCCTGTGGTGGGAAATGATTGGGGTGGCCAGGAGATTATTGCCTGACATTAAGCTTTGAACAGTGGCATGGTGTTTGGGGGAAATTGTCCTATTTATTTTACATCGGGATAACTTTGAAAAGGGTCTGTAAAACTCATTTCTTTTCCACCCATAGTATCCCCTTATTTTTGCTTCTTATCTAAGCAGAACAATTATTTCTCTGGCCCATATGTGTCTTGGTTTCATGAATAAGGGAACTACTCAAATCAAATTGTAGGGCACTTCGACAGATGGGACATAGACATAGGAGATTAAGATGCACACGCTGCCTCAAAGGAGGTTGAAATCCCAGGGGCATGTGTATTTGTATGCGTGCGCGCGCGCACGTGTGTGTGTGTGTGTGTGTGTTCACATGAGCCACCAGCAGGAGGTGGTAAGAAGGGCATTGCTCATAGATAGGGAATGCATGTGAATGGCATCATTCATGAAAAGAGACAAAATGCGGTTTCACAGAAACTTCAAGGATCTGGGCATCAAAAAGACTGGAACATGAATCCTACTGAGAGTAACACAGGATCATTTACTTAATGTTTCCAACTCTGAATTTCCTCATCTGTAAAATAGGGTAATCATATCTAATATTTCTAGTTGTGATAATTGAATGAGACAAAAAAAGAATGGAACCATCATGACATACAGTACAGATGAAGGAAATTGAAACTTCTATCATTAACAGGCATTATGGTAAAACAATCCCTAGTTAGATAACCAAATGAGATAGTCAGTTCCACAAGAGAAGTAGGAGATGTCGGTCAATTATGAATGGGTGATTCAAAGTAAAAGGGACTTTTAAGGATGCATCGTCCTATAATAAAAGGAGCTTATTTACCCTTGGGAAAGGTCATTTTTTTTCTTAATTGGTATGTCAGGAAGGGATCCCTTAACCGGTCCCCAGACGTTTCTAGACACAGGGTTTATCCCATATGGCTGCTTTAGTTCCCTGACTTCACTATATGACAAGGTCCCTTCTAGAAGAAAGTACCCCAGGGGGAGAAAGAAACAGTGGCCTCTGTCCTCCACCCCATTTCAGAGCTGCATGTGCATAGCAAGAGGGTCTCCAGGAAAGACAAACTTGACCTGTGTTGGGGAATAGCCGCAGCTCCTAAAACTGTTTAGAGGCAGGGACAAAAGAACAGAGGAGAAGAAATGAAACAGTCAGGAAGTTTCTTTTTACTGTATAGCAGAAACTTCAAGAGAAACAAGCAGGGACATAAGAGCAGCTCCAGCTAGTGAGCAGGAGGGCTTTCTCTGCTTTGATTGCTGTCACAAGATGCCTGGAACATAAAATATCTAAAGAAAGATACTAACCAGCTGGGAGGAAAGACTGAGGCAGCCCTCAAATGATGTCCCCAGAGAAGATCCCTTGCCAGAGGAGTTGAGGAAGTGGAGAAAGAATAGAAGAGCAGGCAATGCTGCGTGGACACGGGCCAGCAAGTCTTATGTGTTCAGTGCAGAGTTATTACACGGACTGCACACTATGCAACATATAGAAATCTGGAAGAAGAACATCAAACTAGATGCCGCGGTGCCCCACTCATGGTCTGGAGAGGGACACACATACAAATGGACAATTAGGATGCAGAGAGAGAAATGCTACCATGAAGGCTTTAACACATTAACCAGTAGGAGTCTAGAGTGTCCGAGTCTCTCAGGGAATTCAAGAAGGCCTCACAGAGAAGGTAGGACTTAAGTGGAAACTTGAAGGATGCAGGACTTGTAGGAGTTCTTCCAGAAAGACCACGGGAGGAGGAAAGTCCAGGTAGAGACAAGAGGAGGCCTTAAAGAATTTTGAACTTGAGTGTAACATGAGAAGTTCTTTTTTTTTAATGTTCACTCAGCTGTGAGAGATTTGAGAGAGTCCCAGTCCTGCCTCTCCCCTTCCAGGAGCTGAGCTGCTGTGGAATTCCAAGTAACACTTGGGGTCCTTATACCACAGTAGCTCTTAAAGGGAGGTGATTTCTACTCTCAGGGGACATTTGGCAATATCTGCAGACATTTTTGGTTGTCATAACTTGGGGAGGGAAGAAAGGTGCCCAGGCATCTAGTGTAAAGAGGATGGTACTAAACACCCTATAATGCACAGGGCAGTTGTCACACTGAAGAATTATCTGGCCCTAGATAGCAGTAATGCTAAACTTGAGAAACTGTCACTGAGAGAATAGACCTAAGAATCTAAGTGGTCTTGACCTTAGAGTCTTTTCAACAGATCTGGCAAACACTTAGAATAGGAATGGTGTGTCCATATTTTCCTGGTTGTGCTTACTCTTGTCAAAACATCCTGTTCCTCACCATCATAGGACAGATCATAATTTAAGTCTTTATAATTATTATATAAGCACAGACTATAGAATATGTTTTTTATGTGATTTAAAAGGTTCTGTGAGAAAAAGGTCATCACATCTGACCCAGACACCAGCAATTAGTAGTTAGCATTTGATAGGCTTCATTGTGTTAATGAATGGAGAGTTCTGGTGAGGGTGGGAGGCTGAGACATGTGATGTTGCTTTATGCAAAATCTAACCTGGTGATAGTACAACTGGCTACTGTAATCATAGAGATAGTGGGTCAGTTTCGCCTCAATGGAGGCTAAGGCTGACCTGAAACTGAGACTTCAAGTGAAGAGAATAGCCTCCCTACCCAGGCTGATGGGCTGATGCCACTGTTGTGGCATTCAGACTGGATAGCGAGCCTATGGGCTGGTGCTTTTGGAATGGGGAATTCCGACCAACCCTGCAGGTCTCCCTGCACCATCCCACCCATGAATTCCGGCCACTTGACAAAGCGTGCTGTGAAAGCATCCCTGCTGGTTGCCCTAGAGAAAGGATTAGCAGGAAGTGAGACATGTAGGTCATGCAGCAATGACCAGGCTGCATTGGAGGTGCTGGACATGGGTCGCAGCACTGTGTGGAATAGACAAGATGCAAAAGCAACCCAGTGTCTACTCCCAGATGAATGGATAAAGAAAATGTGGCCTATACATCCGGTGGAATATTATTCAGTCTTTGGAAAAAGAAGGAACTCTTGCCATCTGCAACAAGATAAACCTGAAGGACA